GGTTTAATGTCTCGGTAGGTCCCTATTTTCGGCGTGAATCTCAAATAGGTCCCTTTTCTTTTCGGCGTCTCAATTGGGTCCCCATTTTTGTAAAATTGTAACAATTAGGGGTCTGCCGTCAAATTGGACAAACGGCCGTTTAATTGTTTCTTACGTGTCAGATGGGAATCATGCCACGTGTCATTACTGTTCATGCCACGTAACAAACAATTAAACGGCCGTTTGTTCAATTTGACGGCAGACCCCTAATTGTTACAATTTTACAAAAATGGGGACCCAATTGAGACGCCGAAAAGAAAAGGGACCTATTTGAGATTCACGCCGAAAATAGGGACCTACCGAGACATTAAACCTAAATTTTTTAATTAATCTAATGGTGTTGAAAACTTATCAAATTGTTCAAAGTATACTGTTATCATTTTTTTATCTTGAAACATTAGGAGAAGTTTTCCTCTTAGTTTAAGAAAGAAAAAATAACTTTCAGATTTAGTAAGTATATGTAAAGGTGTTAAATTTAGTAAGAAAAAAGAACTTTATTCTATTCTGATTGATTAAATTTCTAAGGATCGTTATAATTTTTAATTAAATTTTCTTTATTTTATCTGGTTCATAATAAATTTAGAATATTATTTCTAGATAAAACCAAATGAAAATCAACATCACTTGTAATATTCTAATAGTTTTATTATTTCATTACCTTGCAATTTCAGTTAACCTTCTTTTACACAGTTAATAGAAGTTCTCGTGTGGCATTAACAGTAATGCAACAAATGTGTCCTGGTGTAGTAGATGTAGGTGAAGAACGGATTGTTCTCTATGAATTGGGTATTATAACATCTTCAAGTAAAATATTATTTGCTCATTATCAGTTCTTCCTATTTTGACGTGTTTTCTAGGAAGAATATTTGGAAACTCCGTGTATAAATCGAAGTTAGACACTTTGTTTATTGTTGGGTGCATACATTTTTTCTTATGTAGAGGCATAGATGTTGAGATGAATTGTATTTATTAAGTGTGATGAAACACTAAGGTTGTGTTCGTTTCTAATGATTTACTATTGGAAGGGATTTACAAAGATGGATTTGCGTGTGATTGTAGTGTTTGTATTAAAGGATGTGAGGAATAACGAAGGAATGAAATTGCAAGATTACTTTCTCTCCCTATCTCTTTTGGGATGAGAAGATTTGTTGGTGAAAAATGGTATTTTACAATATTATCCTTATTTATCACTTACCATAAAAGAGAGAGTGTGCTATGTAGAATTCCAATGGCAAAGGAGACGATCATGGGATGTTGAAATTCGTTTTAGAATGCTGAAATTAGCTCTTTAAGTGGAAACTACTGCATTTGAGAATCGATTCTGCTATATGAAATCAATTCCATTAATATATACATAAGTATATCACCTTTGAAAAAATTATATATATATATATATATATATATATATATATATATATATATATATATATATATATATATTGTAATTATTTTTTGTGTGGTTGAAGTTTAAAAAAAATAATTTCACTTTACTTAATTTTTTTATTAATTGTTTGATTTTTTAATATTTAAAATTTATTTTATCAATAAATATGTTATTAATAAATAAAATTTTATATTACACTAGACATTTTAATAGTTTTATTTTCTATCAGTTAATACATTCTTTTATTTATCACCTCAGTGAAATTTTATACAAACTTTCATAAATTTTATTCTCAATCATCTCCAAATTCTTTTAAAAAAACAACTTATAATTTATTTTCAAATTTATTCAAGTTCATCCAATCTCTCTTCCTCAAATCATTACCCTCAAGCAAATGAATACACCCTAAATGAAACATAGAAACATCTAAAAAAAATAAGATAGAATATCACAATCATTGGTCCATATGAAAACAACACAGTAACGTGGTCTTGGTGTTGTGATTAGAGAGCATTTGAGCTCGACCAATGATAGATTTGAGTGACAGCTATAAAAGGAACTTGTTGAAGTAAACTTCGTTTGTTCACGTAGTCAATGCGTTGAATGGAAAGTCTTGTCATGAGTCTAAGACTCTTAAGTTTATTATGAGTCTAAGAGTCTTAAGTTTATTACTCTGAAATGCAATATGTAGCTTCAAAACTCAATGTTCAAAGACAAATATTTTTACTTCATACATAATAAGCATCGCATTATTTTTCCAACGCCCTTATAATATACGGAATATGTTTGTTTTTCAGTTGGAGCAGTTTAAACCTAAGTTAAACTCAACTAAGTATAAGTTGTGAATTCCTTTGAACGGTTTCAGCTAAAAAAACAAGCATGTCATATAACAAAGAGCTATTATTCTGGTCCTTTTAAGATATTAAACTAAAATACAAAAAAAAATGTGTAAATATAGTACTACTCAAATACATTTTTAATAAAACCTTGTTATGTTGGAACTTTACTTTTGAATGGCTTACCAGCATTTAACCACCCAAAATTAAATTGAAGAACCAGAGCTTAGATATAATTTAACTGCAATCAGGGAAAAGTTTTTCAACACCAAAGAATAAAACGAAATCAGTATAATTTGCTCAAAAGCTCATTGTTAAACAGTTGAAAGTGCAAACAAGTATTAATAAGCAGGAAAAAGATTACATCATAAACAGATCAAACACGAGTAATTATAATTCAATATACTTAATCAAGGTTTAGAAGACATAAACCAAAGTCAATTAAATTACATAGTTGTAGATACGGTTTTGTCATGTGGCCAGCAAGTTTCCAGCGATAGACATCCTTGTTCATTTTGAATATATTCGAGAGCGTAGTGGCACTGCTTTAAACCATCATCAAAGGACTTGCCTCTAATTTGTTTAGTTTGTCAAATCAAATTGTAAAACCAATGTTATATTTGTGGTTACCGAACTGAGGTACAAACTCTTGACGTTGGATACCTGGCCTTCTTGTTAATGCATATATTGCATGTAGAATAGCCTAGTTAGTGCTTTGTGTTTTTTGGCAGTTTTGTGAGTGGATTCCTCACCTCACATTCTACTTCACAACCTTCAGACCATTTCGCTTTCACAAACCCAAACTTTAAAAAAATGGAATTTCAAGCAACAATACACTACTATAAGAATTTGGAGCATGTCTGAGTAGGTACATCAAATTGATAAACATCTCAAGGCTAAACTAAACTACATCCAAACAGAGAAGAAAGGTAGAAGAGAGAGACGCTTCTTTTGGACATCAAACAAAAGCATCTTAGCCTTGAAAAGGGGAAGCATGTGCAAAACCCCACAACTGCACATAATAGAGATATAGTGAATAAATCCATATAAACAAATAAATGTGGAACAATGGGTAGTAGAAATAAGCAATAGACAAAATCAATGCATGGCATATAATGAAGCACAGATGGAAATCTAATTTCTGAAATTTCATGGTTGTTCATCTAACTTGGAAAAGTTAACCAACCCCCTCTGCATCCAAACTTGGGTATCATGTGTACCTTTTTCATATGGTGAAACTGGTTCCAGTACAATTTGTTAATTATCAGAAATATTAATTTGCAAATGGTGACAGGGGATTGGACTCAAATTTATACCATTCATCACGAAAGGAACTTGTGTGCATTGTCCTCATTTTCATGGGGTTGGGATGTGGACAGGGCACACTGAATGTAGAGTAAATGTTTATTTCAATTCGCAAGTTTTGTATATCATTGTCTAAACCACGGGTCCAGATTGCCAATATGAAGCCAATGAAAAGGTTACAGCAAAAAGGCAATGAAAAGAATATGAAAAGGATTGAGCAGAAGACAGCAGGGAATGAAAGCCACTTAATAATTTATTGCAAATTGTAAGCTAGAAAACAGATTATTGGTAAGAGTATGACCTCGACATTCTTCAACTGAAACTCTGGACTGTGAGCAAGACAGGAGTTTCCATATGTTTCACTTGGTCCACTAGTCCCAGATAACCTTTTCAACCAAAAGGATGCATTCAATAAGAGAATCCAGTAGAGCTACTTCAAGAACAAATCAAATGTACTGGAACAAAACTAAGCGACATTATTAAATGCTTACAAATCCTCTTCTAAGCATAAAGCATAACTACCCCCACCACCAAGTGCAAGTAAATCATTCATACACATGCAGTAGTATCGGTTGACACCTGCACATACAATTAGAACACAACTTTAGAGAAACTCGAGTAAAAATAAACATCGTGAACAAATAATAAAAGTTGAGAACCTTATACTGTGAACAAAGATATTTCATTGTTCTTACTATAGAAATAGAAGTAGTAAGGACTCCAAATGGTTGTAATTTTCATCCCCTATTTAGCCTAACCTGTAAATTCTAAAAACTTCAGACACCAGAACATCTAACATTTCTGATTGTCTTTACCTTCTCTCCCTATATGTAAACTGAAAATTGTTGACAAACAAGTCTTTCTGGAAGTACACTCTAACATTATAACTTTGTAGTTTACATTGGGCAGTACAAGGACTACTTATAGACCCTTTTACATCCATTAAATACAACTACTACCTAAACCATAATTAATGAACTCTATTGCATGCCACAATCATTACTTGAAGCACTCCTAATCTTTGCAATCTCCTAAGACACTTAATTCTACCAACACTACTAAATGCAACTATCCACAAGTTTACCTAACAAAATCCCCCATAAACTTAAATGTTTTTCTTGGTTCTTCTATCCAGGCTTCTACATGCAGTAACTCCTCTCAAACAGTATTTGCTCCTTCCAAGAATAGTTGGGTTATTTGCTTTTTTCATGGCCGACTTTACTTTCATTGTGACCAACATGTCCCTAATTGGATTCTTTATAGTCTAAGTGGCTGACTTGTCAGTAACTAGATTCTTGTCAATAGGTCAAGCTCCTTTTGAGAGATCAGACCATTCTCACGTATTGTTGTACTCAATAGCACCAATCTTTTCATCCATTACAAGTCGCTACTTCTCATCTTGCACCTCCAATGCAACTTATATCCTTCTCAGCATGTAATTGTTCTTGCAATCTTAAAACTTCTTGTTCAAGTTCCAAGCACCGCTTATTCAAAGCCTGTTTTATTCTTTCTAAGCTTGCTTGTAATTCTGCATGCCTATAACTTCCTTGTCAATTCTATGTTGCAAAATGCCTCTAGCAAGCTCTAACCTTTGGATAACAAGCTCATCTCCGTACATGTTCGAGCCATCTGAGCTATACAAATGCAACACTAAGCTATTTGAGCTTCCCACTTGATCCACCAACTTATTTGAGCTATTTGACCTTCCTACCTACTCCTTCGGGATGTTTACCTACTCTATTGAGCTACTCGAGCACTCCACTAGCTCGATCAACTTAACCAAGCAATTTAGACTTCCCACCGAGCTATTTGAGTTCTCCATGCACCTTACCAAGCTATCTGGACTTCCCACCAAGCTATCTGGACTTCCCACCAAGCTATCTGAGTACTCAATGCACCTTACCGGACTATCTGAATGCATCATTGATTTATTCGAATGTCTTGTTAACCTCTCAACACTACTTAACTGTCTTGTCAAGTTATCCTCGATACTCAACCTTCTTGTTGAATTCTCCATGCTACTCAACCTTCTTGCCGAGTTCTCCCCTTGCTTGTGCTCAACTCTTGAGATATGTCCCATCATCAATAATACCGCTTCCTCTTCAGTATCTTCTATAAGAAGGTTGGTTAACTCTTTTCTTCCATTCCCAAATCGACAATCTTTTTGCAAAGTGTTGTACCTTACCACAACTAAAGCACTTAACTAATTTTCACTCCTTTGCATAAGGGTCATACTTGCCACACTTGCCACACTTGAAGCACTCAACGCTTGAGTTGCCTGACTGACCTCCTCTCCTTCGACCTCGTCCTAGGCCACGCCAATTTTGTTGGTTGGACTATCCTCTCTCCTCTCCCTGTCCACGGCTTCTACCACCAGGACCGCTTCTTACACCTCCTCGATATCGTCCTTTGACTTGAGTGTTCTTAGCTTCTCAATTTATTTGGAGTAGTTGATCAAGTGGCTCATGCACCTCAAGTGACTTGGCAAGCTCTTCAACCAAGAGGTTGACAAGTCCTTGAACTCTTCAATAGTGCATACAATATTCTCAAAGTTGTTAGTTACAACCTTAAGATTTTCTCCACCATTCGACAAGTGGATAACGTTTCTCCATTCCTTCCAAGTTGGTTCACCATGGTCTCAACACGAGAGTCGTACTCAACAACTTTGTCAACCTTTTTCATCCCGATGCTTTCAAGCTCACCTCTGAGAGTTTGAAGCCGAACCTGCTTCAATCGATCATCCCCACACCTACTCTAGAATGTCCCACACTTCTTTTGAAATTTTGCACTTGCAATCTTATCAAAGACGCTCATCCATAGCTTGGTACACGATGTACTGAGTTGCCTTGTCCTTCACATACGTTTCTTTCAATGCTTTCAATTGGGCATTAGACCAATTTGTGATGTTGATTTGTTCTTCGAAACCATCTTCAACCACCTCCCGATTTTCCTAGTAGCCAAGAAGAGCCTTCATCTTCAGACTCCAATTATCATAGTTGACCGCCTTTGCAAGGTTGGCCATCTCACTCAAGCATTCTTGCTCTCAAGCACGCTCTTTAGCTCTTTCTCAAGCACTCAAACACTCAAGCTCTCTAGCTCTGATGCCAATTTGTTGACAACAAGTCTTTCTTAAATAACTCACTAGTATTATGACTTGTAGTTTACATTGAGCAGTACAAGGACTATTTATAGACCCTTTTGACAGGGCCTTTCAACTACATCCATTAAATATAACTACTACCTAAACCATAATTAATGAACTCCCAATCTTTGCAATCTCCTAAGACACTTAAGTTTACCTAACAAAAATCCCTATAAGTGCAATGGTTAAAAGGATTAAAACATATTGATATTCTCGTGGAAGAACAACTTTTTCTAAGGAAACAATTCAAAAGGTCTTTTTATGATCATAAAAGCACATAATTATCATTAAAGAGCTCATATTTGTAAAATACTAATTTTGCAATGATCCAAAGTACAATGAATAGTCATATTTACAATACGTATTAAAGAAGACCCAATGATTCCATTGATCCCAAACCTTTCTCAATTGTAACTTAAACTAAAAGAGGACATTAAGGTGACAATGAGCCATTCATTCAATAGGATTCATCCATATTTTTCTAACAAAAAGATTATTCCTATATCAAGCTTACATACTTCCACGTTATAAAATCCAGGTCCTGGTGAATATTGATGACTGCAATACCAAAATTAACTTCAGATATTTAACCTTAAACACATGCAAATGTCACTCTAGCTGATATGAACTTGTCCATTTGTTCACAAGTCGGACAATGCATCAATTTAAAACATTTTCCTAAGTTCCTTCAAAATTCCTACCAAAAATTATCCGTTTAAATGATGAGAATCCTTACCAGTAGGTAGAAACAGCCTTGGCTGACCATATACAGTTGTAAAGACAAAAGTTTCACTTGTTCCCTATCACCACAGTATACAAAATAAAATCACACTTCAAGATGAAAAAGTGCCTTCACAAAGAAGCATTATCCATGAAAAAAGAGAGTTGACATACTTGATATTTTCGCTTTGCTGTAGGTTTCAAGGGACATTCAAGCAGCCCACCAAAAATAGCACCTTGCATATCTCCCACGATCTAATAGTTTTGCATAATAGACAATAATTCATTGTTAACAAACGAACCACACCTTGATATGTAGATGAAATATTAGGTGTACAACATGACTGGAAAATAGTTCTGAAAGGTTGACATACCAGCAAACCGGGACATGAAAGCTCAGAACTCTTGCGAATAAGTGTTCGAAGTGATACTCCATGTTTTAACGTACTGCCCTTAATATAAAGAACAAATGTTGAATCAATATTTCAAAGCAATAGCATATAACTCTCAAAGCAAAAAACAAAAACTTACTGAGAAAAGTTACCTATATAGTAAGACCCATTGGCGTCCTTTCACTATATTAGGGAGGCATATTTCCAAAAATTCATACAATTCAGGAGATATAAAAGTAGATTCATCACTAAGATTGAGTCGAGACTTCTTTGAAGCCTGGGGTTGCTGCTCATTTGCTTCCTCAAAAACCTCAGAACTGCTACTGCTCCTTCTAGAGGTATGATCCTCATTATTATTATTATCATTACTGTCTTTCACAGAGTCCATATTATTGTACACGGGACTACAGTCAACATAATTATCAGATGGAACATCCTGATAGTCAAAATTCTCATAATTATATCCAGCAGAAGGTGATTTATTCTCATTTTGATACTTGCTCGTATTGGATCCATCAAAGCTGATCGAAGGGATAATGTAAGATAAATATGAAGACACAGGTTTATCCTCTTGAGAATAAGGACTATCCTGCGCAAATAAAAACCTCATTTCAGATATAAAAGATAAAAAAAGCAAGGTACTGGGATATGTAAGACAAATTATTACAATGTTCCTATAATACATGCATTTGTACTGGAAGCATAAAGCAGTGACATTACATAGGACATTTATGAGAAAAAAATATATTAAACCTGGTGATGCACCCAAATTTTTAAATAAAGTAAACCTACTCCAAATAAAGTTTCCTATCCACTTGAAAATTCAATCTATCTTCATGATATACTACAGATAGAAGAAGAGAAGGAATCATTCTCCTGGTTCATTTTCTACCCATCCCAACAAAATAACCAACTAATAGCCCAAAAGCCGAATCTATATTCTCCAGCACTCGCAGCCAGGCAAACAGAACACACGGCCATACCACATATATAATACATGCTACCAAAGACAGATAAGAGAATAATACTAACTCTTAGTAATGTACACAGGCCGTTAAACATAATTCTTCGTGTGAATACAAAACGGTAAAAAACCCATATACTCTATTACAATTCAAATTGAAAACAATATTCAGCTTTCAATTATTAACGAAATGAAGCAACACGATTTCCTTTTCTTCCTTCTCTACCAGGTATCTTTGGCGCATTTTCTGGAAAACTAAAAACCGTGATGAGAAATAATGAAGCCAACTTAACCCGGATTCAGATTTATGCAGACACACACAGATCAAATTGAAGATCGAGGGCAAAGACGATCAAAGCTTGTGTTCAAGGAGAGAATAAGAGTGTCCACCACACCAAGCTCAGATTTTCATGCACCATAACAAATAAGCAAATGCAGATCATGGAAAAAAAAAATACCTGGGACGAGGAGGAGTTGGGAAAGAGATAAGAGAACTTCTGCGTGACTTTGTCTCTGAAAGAGTGCATTTTTAAGAGGCCAATTATGAATGCGATTCCATGAAATGTGATGAAAAATAAAGGGTTTGTATGGTATTGTAAAGAATGCGAATTGGGAATTGCCAATTGAGAATTAGGAATTGGGAATGATAGGAGTGCGAGTCGGTGGTGACAGAACACGATGACAAACAAAGAGATGAAAGAAGCCCAAAATGTAAGATTGGTTGTCTTGTGACAAAGATTTTATTTTACTAGACAATGTTAAATTAATATTAATCTTCTCATTTCTGTTAACATCACCAATCTTTTCAACATTTTCATGTTTTTATTTTTTTTATTTTTTTAATAGTTGTTCCACTATTTTATTCTGTCTTCTCGGTTTTTTAACAACATTATATTGCTCCTATACGTTTAAATTATGTAAATTAAGCTCTTTAAAAATATATTTATATAATGCTAATTCATTATGACTTTTATTTATATTTGTATATTCTTAATATACGACAAAACTACTAATATAAGACACAAATACATTGATGCGTGACCATATTAACCAATTAATTAATACACTTCTTTTAAAAAATATATATATATATATATATGGAGCTAAACAATTTACCATTATTATTACTATTATTAATTTTAGCTATTGAAAATATATAAATCTCACAATCTCCTTCCTTTGGTGTTAGTAATATTAGTATTTTATTTCCAACCAAAAATATATTAACAGTATTAGAATTATTGTGTTAACTTATTTTATAATAACATAATAAAACGAAATTATAATTATAAAAAAAGAAAAAAAAATTCAACGTTTAGCTATAAATTATTTTATTTATTTTATAAATGATTTTTATTTATTTTATAAATGATTTTTATTTATTTATACTTTTAAAATAGTTAAATTTAAAAAAAATTGTTAAATTTTAAAAAAATCACTTCAAGAATAAAATTAGAAAAGAAAATTGACAAATATATATATATATATATATATATATATATATATATATATATCTTTACATAATAATATGGATAAGAAGTAATTGCATAACTGTATCGTATTCTAAATTATCAATTAACTTGTAACTATATAATCTATTAAGAATGTTAACATACTACTAATAATTGTAACTATATAATCTATTAAGAATGTTAACGATACTACTAATAATGATACATAATAAATATAAATTTGTTTATTTAGAAGTAGATAATGTACACATGTACAATTTTGATTAATAACCAATTGCATATATCATACTAAAAAAGTACACCAGTTAATTATAGTAGTTAAGATAAGTTATTAAAACCAATACTGCGGGTTCAATTTCCATTAAAATAATTTTGATAACTTTTTTCATTTATACATAAGGATTAAAATTCGGCAACTGTGACCTTATGAAATGTTTAATTATGGTATGTAAAGAGAAAGAGAAAATTTATTCAGTCACCTATGATATTGCACTTAAATGTAATTAGAGTACAAAACACAGTATCACAATAATGATCTTTTTATATATAATAATCATCAATTATGTGAGAATGTGCCATTATATATTTTTTAACTATTTGTGAGTTTTCATTTGAATATTGTTTTCATATAAATTAAAATTTAGTATAGATTTTTGGTTTTAAAGTACTTTTTATTTTAAACTCCTTATTTTCTTGTCAATTTTATTTTATTTTATTTTTTAAAATAAGAGTTTTATTTTGATGTATGTTAAATTTTAAATAGTGTTATTCAGTGTTCTATATTTATTACTTTTACAAATGTGGACAAAAATAAAAGAAATGAGAATTGAATCTGTATGGTGAACAATTAAGCATGTTTTTGTTTAATGTGTGTTAAAAAGAATAAAACTATAATCAAAGACGTAAACTTAGCAACAAATTGGGAGTGAGAATAACAAAGCCCTACCGTAGAGTCTTGCTCCAGTTAGTCAGCACAACAAAGTTTGTTTAATGGACTTTTACTTTCTGCACTACCAATATTTCTTCTTCGTGCACCCTCTTATATTTTCAAAATAACCATTTTACCTTTAGTATAAGTGTCTTTTGGATCACATATTTCAAAAACACTTTTTTAAAATCTTAAAGATTTTCAAAATAAAATTTTAGAATGAGATTTTTGGGACAAAATTTTCAAAAAAGTATGAAATTTATTCCAAATAAGCTTTTTCAGAATTATATTTCCCAAACTACCTTTCCAAAATATCTTCGAAACATATCTTCAAAACATCTTCACTTAAAATGTGTTTCCAAAAAAAAATTATTGATTAAATTAAAAATACATGTTCTTGTTGAATAAACAGATTGCTCCATTTGGTTTATTTTAGATTAATACATATTATTTATGTTTTAGGGGCTTCTAGTATGAGATAATTTTTTACATTTTCAGTAATCTCAGATTGGAAAGTACACTTCTCATTTTATTTTTAAAAAATACCTTTTACGCAAACTTTTTAATAAAATTCTTTTACACTTTTACAAACATGATAAAGAGGTAGAAGATGATTCTTTGAACTAAAATAATTATTTTTTGAAAAATAATACATTACTCTTATTAAATAATCTTAAGTATAAATTTAAGATGTTACTAAAACTATAAATTATTTTATTTCTAAATAACTTTATTGATACTTTTCACAATTTTTTTAACCTGTTAAAAAAAATCATATCTTTTAATAACCATTTGTTTTCTTATAAGAGAATTATCATTTTCAGAAATTTTAAATTGAGTATTTTTTTTCTATTGGTTTTATCAAATAGAAGGTAAAAATAAATCACTGTAAGATCCCTACAACCTTAGTTAATATAATGGCTCATAAATGTTAAAGTTATTACAAATTTATATAAAAAAATGTCTATGGACTTCCTTCTATTCCATCACATTTAGATCTATTTGTTTCTAAATAAGAAGGTACAATTCTAACGTGATCAGGAATATGAAAATTAATCAGTGAACTAATATTATAATAAAATGATAAATAAATGTTTAATATGTATTTATATTTAATATGATAAAAAATATATATTTTTAGTTTAAGAATAATAATTTTATTAAATTTTTTAACTCTAAGTTAAGGTAATTCATATATGTTGGTAAAAAATAACTGTTGATAAATGTTAGATTTTTTATTATCAACAAAAAATTTGTAAATAAATTAAAAATTTTATTATCATGGATATTTTTTACTAAAATCGATACAAAAGTTTTTTTTTAGACTTTGACAATTTTATACTAAAATTTGTTTAAAATTTGTCGATAAATGTATCACTAACATGTTTCTTGTTTGTCGGTAAATATCATCAAAAGATTTATTAATAATTATTTTTTTAAAAAAATATGTTTGAATAATGGTTGTCAAGTTTTTTCAAAAATTTAACGAGATATTTGTTAAATTAATTGGGCTTCATTGTTCACAATTACTCAAGTAACGAGGAAGATAATTCAAGCCAAAGATTATGGCTCGAATAAAATAAAGATTGGAACATCTATTAAAAATGTACATCTACTATAAAAATTTTAAAGTATTGGAAAAATGCTCAATTTATGGATGAACATTCAAACTTTGAAGTAGTGTTTGAGTAAGAAAGGGACTAAATCAATTATGTTGTTTAATGGTATCTTAGTGTAAAAAAATACTTAATTATGATGATCATGAGGTTGCATGTTAATTATATGTGATTATATATATAATTGATGGATAATATATATTGAATATGTATGATGAGATTAGTAATTAATGTAGTATTATATAAATCTATTGATTCTTTATGTGTATATCTTTACACGTTGAATATTTTTTTTCTAAATAATTAAACAATGTTTTAATGATTTGAGTATTTGTTTGACCATTTGAGTTGGCCTATAACTTATTACTTTTATATTTATTTTTCATGTCAAGAAACGCGAAAACTTCAAAAATAAAAACATCAACATTTTCAAACAAAATCTTTCATGAAAAAATATGATTTCTCATTTGGAATGAGAATAATTAGAAGGATCAAGGTCAATCATTGTCATATTCAAAAAAACAAAAAACATATTTTGTTTCTTTAAGATGTTATTTTTGAGAAAAATTAAATATTTTAATAATCATACGAATATTTAATTAAAGAACGTATTTAAACTAATATTTGAGATATTAATTTTAAAATTCATCAAAATAATGATATGTTTTATATTTTTACTGGTGATCCTGTTTAAGATCTCATATAAACTAAATATAAATAATGATAAATCCCAATTAACTAAGATAATGTTTAAAGATTAAGTTAAGCTTTATTATATCATTTAATATGTATCAATGTAATCTAGTATTTTCTTTATATTTATTTGTAAGACATTTTTTATACAAGATANAAAAATGTACATCTACTATAAAAATTTTAAAGTATTGGAAAAATGCTCAATTTATGGATGAACATTCAAACTTTGAAGTAGTGTTTGAGTAAGAAAGGGACTAAATCAATTATGTTGTTTAATGGTATCTTAGTGTAAAAAAATACTTAATTATGATGATCATGAGGTTGCATGTTAATTATATGTGATTATATATATAATTGATGGATAATATATATTGAATATGTATGATGAGATTAGTAATTAATGTAGTATTATATAAATCTATTGATTCTTTATGTGTATATCTTTACACGTTGAATATTTTTTTTCTAAATAATTAAACAATGTTTTAATGATTTGAGTATTTGTTTGACCATTTGAGTTGGCCTATAACTTATTACTTTTATATTTATTTTTCATGTCAAGAAACGCGAAAACTTCAAAAATAAAAACATCAACATTTTCAAACAAAATCTTTCATGAAAAAATATGATTTCTCATTTGGAATGAGAATAATTAGAAGGATCAAGGTCAATCATTGTCATATTCAAAAAAACAAAAAACATATTTTGTTTCTTTAAGATGTTATTTTTGAGAAAAATTAAATATTTTAATAATCATACGAATATTTAATTAAAGAACGTATTTAAACTAATATTTGAGATATTAATTTTAAAATTCATCAAAATAATGATATGTTTTATATTTTTACTGGTGATCCTGTTTAAGATCTCATATAAACTAAATATAAATAATGATAAATCCCAATTAACTAAGATAATGTTTAAAGATTAAGTTAAGCTTTATTATATCATTTAATATGTATCAATGTAATCTAGTATTTTCTTTATATTTATTTGTAAGACATTTTTTA